CCTTTTTCCAAAGCTGCTCCCTCCTCCTCGCAGCCCTATGCATACAGTATGTATGTCAGGGACAGCCTCCCTCTGTTTTTCCGCACTGCTTCCTGACTCAGACACCACCTGGTGGCCAACAGGCCTCTCTAGTCCCTGCTCTGACTTCGAACACCTCCCAGAGTCTTCCTCAGCCTCCAGGGCAGTCCCATAGTGTTCATCGCTGTCAGATTCCACCAACAGCTCAGCCAGCCGCTCTTGGGCCACAACAGTATGTTTGCCAATCTGCAAAAATATTAGCTTATTTAACTATTTAACATATATGTTTCTGCTAACAGCAATATGCATCATAAAAACATTATGTGGTTATTCTATAAGTTGGGGGTTGTGGTTCTGAAACACCCTAGCTGCCTTTTTTTGAGTGCTGAATAATGTTTGCACTCATTACACATTAGAATTAACATCTATTTATAGGATACCAAATAATATACATTGCACAAATTGAAAAATGCCTTCAGAATATTTAGTGTGGAAATTCAGCTTCTTCTCAAATTTTCATGTTTCTGATTAAAATTTATGTGGTATACAGGAATTTCTTTCATTAAGTAAAAAGTCCAGGCATATTTGGCATCTACATGGAGGGAAGTTTTCTTTTTCTCCTTCCTTTCTCCAATTAATAATCTGCATCTTTTGGAAATGCCTTCATGCATCTTAGGTCATTTTGACGAAAAGAAAAGGAAATTCAAATTTTTTTTTTGATATCATTTTAGGGTAAGGATTGGGCTTTGGAAAAATTAAGGGGTAATCTAGTAAATGTATTTTAGGCTGTGTATAAACCCACAGAACTATTATGGTGTATAGAGTTTGTAACATATAACAGTGTCACCATATTCCTAAAATGATTTATTTTAAATCATATCAAATTTGTTTTCATATTTACTCCCCAATTTCAAGCTATTTTACTTAATAACATTCAACATTTCTTAAATCATCCTACTTCACAAAATTCCATCTTTCTGAATTTCATAGTAGCTAGTCATTTAGATGTATGCATGCATATTCCAGTGATATTGCAAAAATAACTTAATACCTTGGCACTGATGGGGTCAGATTGGTTCATCTTCTCATATATACCTATTTACATTTTTATGGAGGAATCAAAGACAGATATGGAAGAGGCATGCCTCAAAAAGTATAGATTTAAAAATACAGTAGTTAATCATCATCAGTTTTGTTAATTTATTGATCTACTAACATGTTTGTTTGTGTATTTAATTTTTAAAATAAAAAATCCACATATTTTTATTTTGTGTTTATTATTCTAGTTTATAAGAATATAGCCACAGTGCTTCTTTTATCTGTTTTGTTTCCTTATTTTTTTGCAGTGGTGGGAAATTTTGGTTTCATGATTTTTTTTCTATGTCACTTTGAATAGATTTTTTTATCATAGATGATCATAAAAATCATCTTCAGCAGAAAATACAACAGCATTTTGCAATAGCTTAAATTTTAACAAATATGACATAAGAATCCATATAAATCTGTTCCATACTATATTTGATGGTGTTTAGGGTGCCAATAGAACCACTTATAAGTAAAACAAAGTATACTTATTAAGAAAGTACTTATTAAATGCAAAGTATTTCAACTGACAAAAAGGAAAAAAGATACATGGGTATGGTTTTTTCTGTGACACTACAGAAGCAAAATTTGGATTTTGAAGAAGCGTAATAGAAAAGAC